TTGCAATATTTTTAACATTTGGTGCTCCAGCAATATTGCAATCAGATAATGGTAGAGAATTCAGTAATCAAGTCATATCCAAAATATGCGCCATGTGGAAAGATGTTAAGATAGTTCATGGAAAGCCTCGTCACAGTCTAACACAAGGTTCAATTGAAAGGGTCAATCAGGATATACAGAATATGCTAACTACTTGGATGAATGATAACGATACAAATAAATGGACAGAAGGTTTACCCTTTGTTCAATTTGCCATGAACGAGGAATATGCCAAAGTCTTTAGGAAGCCATGTTTGGCGTTAAAGCAAAAAGAGGCATAGCATCGTCTTTTTTGCCTAGCGAACAAATCGCAAATATCGAAACCGAAGAACAACTCGAAGAAATTGCCAATACTTTTGAAACCGAAGTGCAGCTTGAAGAAACTAGTAATACTTCTGAAAAAAAACTTGAGCGATGGTCATACCGAAAATCATATTCCAAAGAAAAATATTGAAGAGGACTTGCAATCTACCACGTCTTCACATCAAGTTCTGACTGAAAAACACGAGTTAATTTCTATAAAAAGAGCGGCTGCGAAAGAAAATCTTCAACTGCAAGCAACAAAAATGTTACGAACCTCACAAAAACAATTTTCTCCTGCTCAAATTGGTGATACTGTACGAATACAAGTCCCTGATGTCGACCGTGGTCGTACAGATAACCGAAATGTGTTAGCGGTTGTTGTTGGAATAGAAGACTCCGATTTCTATAAACTTGCACACGAAAATGGTACCCTCAAGCAGCTTTACGCATGTAATCAGTTCGTAATTTGTTAAGAAAAGTTACTTTTCATATATGAGATTTATTTTCAAGAAATATCGCTCAGAGAAGCAGCTGCAGCTAATTCGAGAAGCGGTGGGCAAGGCTATACACGCTGTCATTGCAAAAGGAAGTGTTCCACAAATAAATGCAGTTGTAAAAGCAAGGGCATCTTGTGCAATTCAAAGTGTCATAATAGTTTAAGTTGTTGAAATAAATAAGACTTGAATTAAGATTTGAATCATATAATTTAGTAAATTTATTATTACTATTACTTTATTTTCTCATTTAGAACGTACTGTATAATTATGTAAGTTTTCAACTTCTATTATTTTCATTTCTCATTTTCAATGTACTATGTGTTTTAAGTTCTTATGTTCTTATTTTAAGTCTCAAGTGCGTTTTTACTCAACTGAATTACGGAGAAGAAATTATAATATTCTTATATGTTCAGCATTCACCATTAGTACATTGTGAATGTGGACATTTACCGGTGTAAGTCAGAAATAAGAGTATTTGGAAAATATTTCGGACATACACCAAGCGACTATTTGAATGTTGACATTCACCGGTGAAAGTCGACTTTCTCCAGATTTCGGTGTTTCACCGTACCATATACGTACATATATACGCTTATATGTAATAAGAATGACTTGGTGAAAGTAAGTTGCAACGGATTTGGCGATGGTAAGGCTTAACTGCGTAATTAGAAAGATGACACTCAAAGACAGACGTGGCTGCTGATTTTGGAAACATAATTTTATTCCTATTATTATCCTTATTATATATATATATATATATATGTGTGTGTGTGTGTGTGTGTGTGTGTGTGGTGTGTGTGTGTAATAAAATACGATGGCTGCGCTCAGAAAAAAAATTGGCAATCTCAAAGCGGACTATTCTAAATTTGATGTTCTCCCCCTGATTTTTAACTCGTGTACATAAAAATTATTGTATTTAACTATTATCTAAAAGTATCTTGTCTGCAAAAGGATAGTTTGATGTGAAAAAAGAATAAGCATTTTGAGTATTTGTATTAAGTTAGCTTCGTCAGCTCACTAGCGGCCGAGCGGTAAAGACGCTGAACACTGTTAGTTCGGTCCGAGGTTCCAATCCCGCGAACGGGCTGGCTGCACGGACGTTTTCGTGGTTTTCCTCATGTATAACGTGTATACGAGCCAGTTTCCCTTAGAAAGTCCTCCACGAAGGCATCCCTCCCTTTAGGCAGATAGCCCTTGTGTGCTTTGCCATAATTAAATAATCCATTCCATGTTAGCTTCGTCTTTATGCTTTCAACCTCAGCCATTACGACTGCCGAAAGTAAAAAGTACTGGTTTCTTCTACGCATTAAAATATCACACACACACATATATATAATTTAACTTTACTATATTCTTGTGAAACAATATATATATACATAAAAGACATAAAGTAAGAAATTTAGAACTAATATTTCACAAAGACCAGAAATTGAAATTCATAATTAATAAATTTCACATTGAAATGGTTCATCGGCTAATTCTCGATACAGAAAAGCAAGGATTTTTGTAATAGAGAGATTTCAATTAGTTTCAAAGTTCCTCTCCCCGATGAAGTGACATTGAACTTGATTGAATTCCCCTTCTGTTTTTGTTCATTTTTCTTTAAATTTCATGGTTTTTGAAGAGGGGATGGACTTGTTTGAAATGTTTTGCTTTTAACATTTTTAAATTCCTTGTTGCATTTATATGATTATTTGGAATTCATTAATTATGAATTTCAATTTCTGATCTTTGTGAAATATCAGTTCTAAATTTCTTATTTTATGTCTTTAATGATAATTTTTCTGTAGCTTAATGCGCGAAAATAACTTTGCATGTTTGTGTTTTCTTTTGTTTTCAAAAGAATTGTTTTGTAATTATACATATATATGTAAGATTTATATAATTAAATTATATCAAATAATATTTAAATTGTATTTTTATATTTTCACTATACAATAGTAGAAATAGAGAGTACTCGATAGTTAAAACTAATTTTTGGAAAGATATGCAATTTTAATAGGTACATCTTGCGAAAATTACTTCATATTAAGTTGTAGGTAAATCATGTGTCTCCTCATTTAATGTGATAATTAATGTTTTATAATGTAAAAAGGCGCACAAATGCCGATTACATTATACCACTGCTCAGAGGTGATTTGACTGTGTGTCTAAGCAAATCACCAAGCAGGTGGTACCATGGGTATTTTCGCGAATTTCCTTACGCATAAAGTAAATACAATCCCTTAGAAAGTCTTCGCAGAAGGCACTACTTCGCTTTGACAAATAATAAACGCTTAGTATTCACGTAATTTAAGAATAAAAAACTTAAAAATTAAGAAAAGGGAGTTATAAAAGCAACTAAAAGTTAGGTGAAAAACTGGTTTGCAAGATATGCTCAGTGCGCCAAAATGAATGAATGTTAGAAATGTGAAGTGTACAGCAGCTAAAATCTGGGAATAAAACTTTTGCATAGAGTTTTCTCTAAGTGTTTCTAACATCCAAAATATTACACTGCTGGCCACCGTAAATGCAACACCCTGAAGGAAGCATGCAAATAACATGAAATTTACAACATGCATTAGCGGAGGGGATATATGCATATGATTAGAATTTCAGCGCAGACGCACATCAGGCGCGCTGTGGCGTCACTTCAAAGTGTTATTTAAGGCTTGGAGTTTTCGACGATTTCAAGTTCAGCAATTGTGTTTTTCTTGTGGTTTTTTCAAAAAAAAAAAAAAAAAAAAAAAAAAAAAAAAAACGATCAATTGTGCCTCGTAGTAAACAGCGATCATCGTTTGACAAACTCGGATAGAGTTCGACAGAGGAAGGATAAGTGGCCTACCGAAAGTGTGGATTATCTTTCAGAGAAATCGGTAGTCGTGTTGGACGAAACCAAACAACTGTAATGCGGGTATGTGACCGTTGGATGCAGGAGGGTGCGACGGACAGACGTGTTTGATCGCATCCACCTCAGTGCACCACTTCACGTGATGACAGGAACATTGTGTGCATGGCAGTGACAGATCTCTCAATCAGATCACGAACCATAGCACAGCACATTCAGTCTGTAACGCATCCTCCAGTGTCTGCGCGTACCATTCGACTCCGCTTGCAGCAGAATGGTCTCTCCGCAAGACGTCCATTGCTTCGTCTACCCTTGACGCAGAACCACAGACATCTCCGCCTCCAATGGTGCGATGAAAGAAGGATGTGGACGGCAGAATGGAATGAAATTGTCTTTACTGACCAGTCATGCTTCTGTCTGCAACACCACAATGGTCGGATTCGAGTCTGGAGACACCGTGGAGAGAGGATGCTGAACACCTGCGTTATGCACCGCCACACTGATCCTGCACCGGGTATTATGGTATGGGGCGGTATTGAATATCACTTTCGCACTCCTCGCATTGCCGGTACTTTTAACAATAACAGCCAGCGCTACATCACCGATGTGTTGGAGTCAATTGTCCTTCCTTACCTTCAGGGCTTTCCCACAGCCATATTTCAACAGGATAATGCGCGACCACACGTGGCACGCATTGTCCAAGGGTTCTTCGTCAATCGCCAGATTGAATTGCTTCCCTGGCCGGCTCCCTCTCCGGATCTTTCGCCGATAGAAAACATGTGGTCCATCGTTGCTGAACGATTGGGCCAGATTACATCCCAAGCTGCCCCACCAGATCAACTTTGGCAACGTGTGGAAGTTGCTTTGTCTGCTGTACCCCAAGAACACACAAGTCTCTTTGGATCAATGCCGAGGCGCGTGGCAACGGTGATCTCCAACAATGGCGGCTACTCTGGCTATCGATTCTGGAAGGAACCACACTTCACAGAAGTCTATAAATTTAATCATTTGATACTTGGTCAACATGTTATCTACTAAATAAATTTTGTTGTGGTATCTCTTGTCTTTCTTGGTGTTTCAATTTGGGTGGCCAGCAGTGTAAATTTTATAATTGCAAATTGTGTTTATAAGCACCCTTCAGATAACCAGGTGAGGGCACTTCTTCAGCAAACTACCTGAAGGAATATTTAGAAATCCTAAAAGTTTAATACACTGCATTATCAGTATATGGCTATGTATACTATTATAAAATGTTATATGTGAATTGTGAAATTGATTTAATTAGTGGCGCTACTTATTATAATGAACAGCTCCTAATTAATATTTCTTTCTAGATATAGAATGCGACTTCCCTGCCAGCATTCCCAATGGCGGCTACACTCTAGTAAACGGCACGAAATATTATCAAAGCATTGTGCAGTATTTTTGCCAAGAATCATACGTATTAGTAGGACAGTCGGAGTTGATGTGTGATGCTGAACGGAAATGGAATGGTTCACTTCCCAGATGTGATCGTAAGTAAATGAAAATTATGCCTATTAATCACACACTTTCTTAAAAGACTCTTGCAATCGAATTTAGAATGCCGCTATCTGTAAACAGTTTCTAGTTATGTTAAAAATGTACTCGATTCAAGTCGAACTTCCCTTAACAGACACTCCATTGTAGCGGACTTTCCCATTAAATGAACATTTCCTGAATCCCCAGATTTTAGAAGTAGGAGAATAAATTATTCCCAATTAGGAGACGTTACCTGATAATAGAAGAAAGCATTGTTTCTTGAGTGCCCGCTAATAGGCAGTTGAACTCTAATTCTTCAAAACGATTTTCAGCTATTTTGGTTGTTTGTACGTTTGTTTTAACTATTATCGCCTTATTTCTCATGAATGATAAAGTTTATTTCATATAACTGGCATCTTAGTACGCATCAAAGTTTTCTCCGCTTTTGCTGTTATATAGGGTGGCGTTTATTGTTTTTATCCAGATCAGTTGGCAACAAAGCTACGATGCACATGCGCATGTCAACATCCGTTTGGAACAAACTTTGCTTTTGTTTGCTATGACTTATATGATTACAGCAAAGCAAGCTAGGGCTATTTGCCCTAAGCGAAGGTATGCTTCGTGGAAGAACTTCGAAACTGGCTTGTACCCACCTAACAGATGGATAAACCATGAAACCGTCCATGCAGTCAGCCCGTTTGCCTTGAATCGAGCCCAGGCCGAATCCATGTCGACTTGAACTAGGCTATTCAGCGAAGTTACCACTCGACCGCTGGTGGGTTTGTTTGGAGCTAGGAGTTTTGTAATTAGTATATCATAGATCTGTGCTTTCTAACCGATGTACAGAGACAGCGAAGAGACAGAAAGTTTGAGACTGAATGCCTGACAGAGAGCGTTATCATCACTTTGAATTGACATAGATAAAGAAATTCGGTTGGGTTCGAAATCCATTTTCATCTTAATTAGATCACATGGTAACATTTATATGAAGGAAATTTCCCATTTATTATATTTAAAAAGTGATCGCACCGTTGATGTTGAATTTACAAATGTTCCATTACCTCTATTCTAAGTAATTACATAAACGAAGTTTCCTTCCGTCGAAGGAAAAAACTATAAGCATTCATTCTTTTATCATTTGTTACAAATGAAAAAGCAATGTTTCTTATTTTTGCTGTCATTCCGCAAAATATCAACTGTGATACATGAAATTCATACTAAAGAGGCACAGTGTAGTACTTAAAGGACAAGAAAAGTATAGCAGAAAAAATGAATAGGACGCATACAGTACGGAACAAATTGTTGACAGACTGGAGTGATGGATTGACAAAAACTGTCTAACAAAGAGGGAAAATAACAAACCCAGCAGCCTTAGTAAGAAATATGACCTTCCCCACTGCAATGCTTGTGTTGTACAGTCTGTCGAATAAACACCAGACTATTTGATAGTTCTCGGCGTAAGAGTTCCCGCTCTTCAAGGAATATCTGTTTCGGTTGCCTGGCGTTCTCCGAAGCGTAAACTCATGCCACTGAGCGTCGCCGTAAAGTATCTCACTTACGTTCAAGGGATTTAAATCAGGCAAACACGTTGGCCAGTCAAATCTGTGAATGTTTTCGCTTTCTAGGAGCTCCTCAACAACATTAATCCTGGGTGGCCGCGTATTGTTAACCATGTAAACGAAGTCGGAACCAATAGCACACCGGAAAAGGCACATGTGGAGGAGAATAACTTCCCAGTAACTGTCTCTCTTAAATGATCCTCTGTTGAAAATGGAAAATGATCTTCTGTTGAAATGTCTTAAATGATCTTCTGTTGAAATGTCCATGCATCATAATGCCTTCCCACACAAGCACGCCAGAATCCTCCATCGGTCTGTTTCTCTGATGTTAGTGGGATGAAAGCATGTCCCTGTCTCTCTCCATATCAACTGGCGCCGTGAAACTTTTATCAGACTTTAACGACGAGGGCGTGACTTCATTGATTAGGTATCCAGTCTGTATTCTCTACACCACTGTAAACAGTCCTGCCAATTACTCATACGCAGCGTTCAGGATGGCGGTCATATAGGCTACCTTTATGAAGTTGTCAGGCTGCATTAAACTGGGACACCTGTCGTCCGGTTGCCGAGCGCAACTGCTAAGCAATATTGCCTGCTGTCTGATTTCGATCTCTTTTCGCTTAGATGGCGGTATATCGGTCATCACTCACAGCTGTTTTCTTTTACCGACCACTGCCAACTTTTGTTACGGTTGTACCTGTCGTTTGGAAGACACTCTAAGCTCGTAAAACAATTCTTTTATGAAATCCAAATTCTTGGGCGACAAATGTCAAACTATGCCCCTCCTAAGCTCGCCAATGAATTTACCACGTGTAAAAGCGTCTTCATGTTTTCTTGTAACCATACTGCACGTACAATTCACTTTCACTTGTAGAAGAATGCTTGCAAATGCGCCTATCTTCACTCTTTTTAAAGTGGCTTACACTGCTCGTGCTGACTCTTCGCGTTTTCCGTCCTGTTACTTACCCTCGGACATTACAGTGCCGATATCTGCATATGCATCACCTTTCTACTTAGTTGGTTTTTTTATTGTACTTGTCGCCAAAAGTTCTTTTTAACAATTTCGTAGTTGTACGTTGAAAAATTAATTTGTTTCTTAAGTTTTTCACACTAATGTACATAAGTGAATATGTTTCTCTTCTGTTATCAATAATAAGAATTTAAAGAGATCTTCGCTGATAATGAACTGCGTGTAAAAACGATTTATTCACAGAAACGAGGTCAGATAGCTTACTGAAATACAAAGATTATATATATATATATTTACCTAAAGAAATATTGATTATATTATCTCTTAAGATTAATTTTAGTACAATTATCTAAAATGATTGAATCCATAGTAAGTTTAATTCCTAAAATGTTTTAAAGTAACTTGAATGTAAATTGTTAAAAATGTTTAACGGAAACTTTAATTAAATCATGAATAACAAAATTTCAATTGTAAAAAGAAATTAAATTAAAAGGAAGTAATCATTGCCATTTATCGGAAATTAGTTGACTTTTCAAGGGGAACAAATCAACCCCCGTTCAATGAACAATAATTAAGAAATAAATACGAACTTTCTAGTGGGAAGTGGGCAAAGTGTTCTCTTCGCGTCTTACTCAGAAGGGTTGCGTTTCCGAAATTCTTTATCGGCAGCGGAGGCTTTGAATTATAACAGTCGGCGAAACTTGTAGGGAGTGACTAGGAATGCTTGAGGGACGTATGTTGTGGAGTTCTTATTTAAGTGAAACCGTCTGTTAAAATTTTTGAAAATACTAGTGAATGGAAATTAATTAATTTCTGGCTAATTGTCGTGTCACAACGAGGAAGAAATTAAGAAAAGGAAAAAGGAATTTTCACTGTAAAAGAGCTATTTGAAAGACTAAAAATTATGAAATAGGCCCTTTTTTTTTTTTTTGGTAACAGCATAGTAACAGTCTGAAGTCAATTGGCTTTTTACATTATATACAGCTTTGTAATTGTACTATGTACAAATCCTTCAACTGATAGTCATCCAACTTATACCGCCTTCTCAGGTTTAGGAATAAATTATCATATCCCTATCAGTTAAATGATTTAGAGTGAGTATTTAACGCCTGTTCTTTTAAGGCAATGGTTAATAAACTGATACGATAGACCTACAACGCGAAATTTTGCTCCTTATTAAAATTCTCAAAAATTCTCAAAAACTGAATTAGCGAAAATGCTAATCAAATTGAGTTCCTTAGTGTTCTGCATTGGTTCTTCATCCCTTCAATTCACGAAAATATTTTGGCCTAACTTAAATAGCCGGTTTGGCATCGCCTTATTACTTGAGTAAAGGACGAAACACCTTCGTATTTATTTCTTAATTATTGTTCATTGAACGGGGGTTGGTTTGTTCCCCTTGAAAAGTCAACTAATTTCCGATCAATGGCAATGATTACTTGCTTTTAATTTAATTTCTTTTTACAATTGAAATTTTGTTATTCATGATTTAATTCAAGTCCCCCGTTAAACATTTTTAACAATTTACATTCATGTTACTTTAAAACACTTTCGGAATTAAACTTACTATGGATTGGATTCACTCTTTTTAGGTAATTCTACTAAAATTAATCTTAGGCGATAATATAATCAATATTTCTTTAGTATATATATATATTAACTGTGGCAAGAAACAATTTTCAGATATTCATATTAATACTTAGAATGTTTGTTTTGTCAATGACTTTTTATTAGAAGTATGTTTGTGCATAGGATAGTAACACGTTTCTGAATAATTAATTTTGCTTTTGCTTTTTCACATCCTAATTTTATAAAATGATCTACAATTCAGTTTCAGCTTCATTCAGTCAAATTTGGCAATTTAGTTCATAGATGCTATAAAAACCTACGTCAAATAGAGTACATTTACTACATTTATTTTGTTTGCTTCACGCTTATGAAAGAAGAAAGTCTTATCTGACTGGAATGCCTAGCTAGAATGTTTATGAATTGTCATGGAGAAATACTTGAAACACATAAACACACATACATACACATTAAAAAAGTCTTATTAAATGAATTAATTGAAGCTTTAGTTTGAAACTGGAGAAATTAATTACGTTAATAAAAATGTTCCTTTATAATATATTATTTATACTTGTGACGTACGTCGTGATATTATGCTTGTGAGATGTGTCATGGCTTGAAAAGGGTTAAGAACCTTTGCCATAGGCTGTGACATTACAGATTGCAACAGTTAAAGCTTACTTTCGTTAGAATACGTTCTGTCACAAATGTTCAAGGGGGTACTTCGACGGAATAGTGAATGTTTACAGAACTGCGGGCAAAGCAGTTAGAAAACTTATTTTGGTTCCTATAGGACGGCGTAACAACAAGCACAATTACAAAGTGATTCAGGTATGACCAGGATTGATTTTTTAACCAATACCTTTATTGCGAATAAAAGCGTTAAACATTCGTCACCCTTCAACGTACTTCTCTCCAGAATCGATAAATTTTGTAAACGATCTGGAAGCATTTTCATGACCTTTTCATAGAACTGTTTCAGCTGGCTATGAATCAACTCCCGAATACAGAAAATGACGTTGTTGTTATCCGCAGAGTGAGTGCCTTCCAAGGGGGATTTAAGGCCACTTGAAAGATCCGAGCTTCATTAATGGTCATCATTGAATTCAAGAATGCATCCTCTTCATCTTCAGACCGCCGTAGAGAGAACTGGTTTGCATGTGCCTCACATTTTCTCGTTTGTCAACAGGCGTGGAATCCACTATCCACTAGACTTGCTATAGTGCAAATGATTTTTCACAGTGGTTTCCACAATACCCTAATGAAAACATAGAGGCAAGTTCTTTAATAGTGATGCGCCTAATCTCACGAATAACCTCATCCACACCATCTGTGTTCGTCGGAAGGATGGATGTTCTCCCCTGGCTCTCATCCCTCAGTGAAGCACTTCATTTTCCCAGAGTGACACTCTTTCCCATAGTGTGCTTGGAGTCTCTTCAAAATTTAAGATGACCGAACGTTTACTCGAATGAAAAATTTGGTCATAATGCGTTATTCCACGCTCTAAAGCAGTTGTTGTTCTATCATCACTCTCGTTACTGCGAGACACGACTGAGCAATTTCAAATCTGCACTGGGGTAAAGTTGGAAATAGTGGCTGTACACACCCAAAACCGCATACTACTGTGCATGGATCAGGGTCTGTAACAGCAACAGTCCTAGATATATTTGAATCTCCTTGTATGAGCTGTACTCTGACGTCTAAGTAAAAGTAAATCTAAGTAAAAACATTTTAAGACATATCATTGAAGCTACCCGCATTGCCTCTAATAGTGTATCCAAGCAATACGATATTTAGAGGATCATACTTTCAAAATTCACTGGTGTCTGCATTATTATCATCGACAGATTACACTGCAGGAAATGCCAATGTGCATGCTGTTATTCCACAGTCATTCAAAGTTACTACGAGCGCATATCATCTTATTGTTTTTATTTAAATTTAATAAATACGTTACCATTAAAGTTCGAAAGTCTAATTTTCACTTTAGCTGGTTAATTTGCATATTACCTGATATGTTTCTTTAAAGGGAGGAGTTATCTACAGTACAAGAGGTTTTTCACTGTTTATCTAGGCAATTCGTACATTAATCTATTTTGAATCGTTAACATCCAAACGCTTTTCCTATCCCGCTTTTCTTTTTCCTCCTGCGTGATAAAACAACATCTTGGTACTGCATAGAGATTCAGAAAATGTTACTGTAAATTTAAAAGTGCCACAAATAAGCGCGTTTGCCGCAAAAGTGAATTTCTGTATAATTCCAGATGTCAGAAATTGCGCTATTAAAATGCATAATTTTATTATGTTTTCTGCAAGCTCATTTCCTAAATTGTAAAATTAATGAATAACATTATTTTAATAAAATAATTAAGCTGAGTAACACTACGTTTCAAGAACTGACAATAATTTTGAATTGCGAATCTGCTGATTATTAAAATTAATTAATCAGTGAATAAAAATTTCTTTTTCAACTATTGTACGTTTTATTTATAGAATATTTCTTTAATTATCCTATGAAATTACATACATCTTTATGGAATAAAAGTATAGTAGTACCAAATGTTACCGAGTTGCTTATTTTGAATATTAATTTAACCTACAGAAACGTTGCTTGGGTTCGAACAAAGATTTTGTTTTCACTTTAACGAGTGACTAATAGATAACGTACTGATTATCTAAGTAGTCTGAAAATCGGCTAGACAAGTGTAAGAAATGAAACAATTTTCGCACTTAGACGCATTGGCATAATTGATATGCATATTTCCTCATTAAAAAATGCTCCATTATTCTGTGGTATGTAATAAATAATAAGATCTTAATCCTTTTTTAGCAATCGTTCAGGATTACTAAATACATTCAAATTAGAAAAAGCTTTTTCCAGTTTAAATGTCTTTTCAATACATATTTACTGAATTAGTTCATAATTATTTATATATTTACTGTTATATTTCAGCTATTTTGTGCCACAATCCACCAAGAATATCTCATGGAAACGCAAGAGTGATAGTGAATATAGGAGTTCCATATACAATAGCGGAATACACATGCGAAGCTGCTTATACACTGATCGGTGAAAAGAGGATTTCCTGCGATTCTACAGGGTTCTGGACATCTAAGCCCCCTATATGTTTAGGGAAGAAAAAAATTAAGATTTGTTAGAAAACTTTATTTGCTAGAATGACGTTGTACGAATAAATAACAATAACCCAGAATTTAAATTGCCTTTTCAATAAAGTGTTTGATTTGTTGTGGTCATAATAACCCTAAAATAACCATATCTCAAAAGTCAATGTTTGACCTTGAATAAGAGTAATAACATATTACAATAATAATCATAGCATACTGCAATATAAGAATAATAATTTAAACTGCAGCTTTATTTTCACGGGAAAAAGTCATGACCAACCTTGAATAAACGTAATGTTGTCCTTAACAACTAAGACACTGACGTACGAACAAATTTCTAATGTAAGCCCCGTGCGGTGGTTTTCCGTAGTCTAAGTAGACAGTAATCTTCCTCTTGCTTTGAAGATCAAGTGCGCAAAATTTCTTCAAGATCCAAATAAAACTGTAGATGTATATAAGTTATACACATGCAAACAAAAAAAATCTGATGTGTACACCACATGACTTCCTTGTACGGAATATTAAATTATACGCATTTTTTCTTGCATTTTTTTAAACTTATTAGATTGAATTAAACCTACTTCGCCAACAGCGCATAAACCAAAATAGAATAAATGCATTCTTTAAAATTCACTTTGTTTACCATAGCGACACTCTGGCGCTAGGTTTACTTAACAGTATTTATATTTCATTCATATTATAACTCAGAATGCACAAAATATATATCATTTAAAAAATTACCTAATCGTTGCCACCTATTCTATTCAAATACTATAATAAATCTAGAACTATGTATAAAAGAAATTAAGCAAACAAAACAAAAAAGAAACAGTTTTTCACAGACGATTGAGTATTTCTCATTGAATTAATTCAGTTCTCACTTCGTGAGAAGGCAAAAATACATAAAAACTCAAAAAAATCTACTATATTAAAAATTACGAAGTAAATCTCAAACGCTTATTTCCTCGAAAAAATTCCAGAAAGAATTAAGCATGATTTAATTGGCAATAATTAATGAATGCGTTATGTTTGTTGTTGCGAAGCTAAGTTTCTCTAGATTGGCAACAAATCCACTAGTCTCCTGTTTCAAATGTAAACATCAATGGCCGCCATTAAAAACAGGCTTAGCGGCAATTAAACAACTTTAAAATTGCCGATAATTCTAAAAATATTGCACACAGATTTACTAAAGGCATAAAATCCTTAACTGGAAGATAAAAACGACATAATTCAATCATTTTTAAAGCAAAAAATTTACAATTTACAAACCTATAAGAGTAAAGAAACTAAGATTACTGAGACGAGTAAGAGAGTGGATATATATATAAATATATTTATATACGTTTGGTGCGGCCGATTGCAACCAAAATACGAGGTGCACATCTACATGTTATAGCAGTCCTATATACAAAATTTCAACGCTCTGAGGCTACTCGTTTTGGAGTTATGCGAGATACGTACGTACGCTCGTACTGACGCCACGAAAAATTCTCTTCAGAATTAATTTTAAAGCAGTTTTATAATTTTTTTCAAGGAAAAGAGTATTTTATTCTGTCCTTACGTACAGATATCATGCAAAAACATCGTTAAATTGCATTCGATAGCGGTCAAAATGGATATTTTCGTTGAAATATGCTGCCTGAAACTTTTCGCGATTACAATACTTCCTTTTTACTTCGTACAAGGAAGTAAAAAATGGACACTTTTCTTTATATATCCCGTATATTTCGGCGTATAACGCTCACCTACAATTTCATACTGTATTTTCCTAATTTACAGGTATATTCTCCGTATAACACTTACTCTTTTCTTTACGAAGAAATCCAAAATGTATATATGCGATATTCTTATCTTCTGACATTTATTCGAAGACTTTTCCTACGCTTTCGAATAATAGTGGTATACTGAGTTAACAAACGATAAGGGGAATAATATGAGGAGAAGAGTGGGAATACTTGAAGGAGTAAATAATTCTGCAAACAGAGTGCGTTGTATTTAATACAGGTGTGTACAAGAAGGTTATGATACATTTTCGAAAAGGGGAACGCAGTTTTAGGCAAGAAAGAACAAGCTTTCGAGCAAATGAATTAGCGGGGTTAGGACTCACACGTTTTCTCTTTCTCCAGTCAAAGCCGTGATTTTGAAGTGAACATCAAAGACTTTTTTAAATTGAGTGTTCCTTTCAGTAATAAATAAGGCTCCTATCAAACGAAACAAACACAGTGCTAATTTCAAATGCAAATTCATTCAGTTTGCAAACGAAAATGGAAATCGTGTTGCAGTAAAGACGTCTGGCGATGGTGTAAGCCCCTACGTGAGTGGAAGAAAAATTACATTCCAAATAATTAATATGCCAAAAAATAAATTTGCTTTGCATGAAGGAGTAACGAAATGGTCTGTCTTGGAAGAAAGTGTTTCTAACCGGCGATTACAGTTTCACTCAAAAACTAATGCGTATTAAGAACTACGAACTACATGTATTACGAATTACAGGTACATGTATTAAGAACGCCCTTGTATGGCCATGTATGTAATACATATGCTTTTTACAAACTCCTAGTATTGACTTGTTCTGGGCTGTTCGGCCGCCCAAAACAGAAGCCCATCCTGAAACAGCCCCTGGTGCATGCATCGCGCGCTGGGCTTCGGAGGTCGGTGCAAGCGGACTGTATGGCCCCTTCTAACATCTAAAGGGGTGCTACAGATAGTGGTGGACGAGGTGCTATGCTGATTAATCGTTTGGTAAAGGGATAGTGCCCACGTCCCCCATTTTCTCTCTCTCAAAAACTAATAAATAGCTCATATACACTCTGGCGGTATTTCAGCCGGGAATACACTGTATAAGCCACTGTCATGGGAAGACAGAAATAGATAATATGATATATAGACAGATGATAGAAAAATGGAATGATAGAAAAGACTCTTCTTTTTCCAACATACCAATGAAAAAAACTTAAAACCGTTGAAGCATCACTAATGAAAACAGAGAGAATGGACGGAACTTTTAACGGAGAAGTGTAGCGCTGAAAACAAAGAGAGGAGAGTTCAACACTGTCCACGATCCCTTGTTCTGACCACGATCCCTTGTTCATATAATTTTAGCTCTCAAGCAGAACGTGATAAGGAAAATAACTTACCCTGAATCCGGTCCTATAACAACGAAAGAAACATAAGGCTCTATAAAAGTGACAATTTTCTTCCTCTACATTTGTTTACATCATTCCAAAAAGCATGCCTTTCTTTGCGAAGTACACGCACGTGCACAACCAGCGTGATCACGTTTAGTACTTTCGAGGACGAATGCTTTACCCATTCATTGCACTTCCTGCAGAATAAGCCTTAGACATGCAGGTGAAGGGCTTTCTAAGAGCCTTAACATCCGTCAAAAGGTTTATTTCTCAGGAAAAGATAGGCATACATTCAGAAGTTAGAATTGATTTTTAAGGCTTATTTGTATTATTTTTTTTTTTTTCTGTTGAAATTGTAGTTCATTTACATAGAAGAAGCAGTGGAGCCCTTTTAAGGCTCCAGTGCGCTTCAGCTGGAGTTACGACTTACTTCAAAAACTGAAAAGAACCGGAGCTCGGCTCCGGTGACGCAATTTAATCTCTGTTAGACCGCAAACATTTGAAACTGATCCATTTGCTCTTGCTTCAAAACAGAGTCGTAGCTATGGTTTTCAGCGCCCAGGGGCAACTGAAGATTTCGCGCCCCCTACTGCTTGCCAAGGATGGAAAACATTTAATTCTAAAATGTCGTAACATCAATTTGGCGCCCCTTGGATTTTTGGACAGTTGTCCCCCCTTGCCCCCCTCTAGCTACGCCCCTGCTTCAGAAATAAAGAATACGTTTGTTGAGAGTTGTTTATTGTGTTGCAAAGCAGACGAAAACATTACAATTGATGAGAAATTGTTCCTACAAAAGAAAGATGCCGCTTTTTCAGTACAAGACAAGAAACCAGATCAATTGACATATAATTTTGTCTTTTAGCTGTCGTAAAAACAAAATGCTTTGCGAATGTCCTTATTTGGGAAAACACTATTTAAATTTCAAAATTACAAGACATGAATATATGCATCTTTTTACACATTTTTGTAACTGGAAATATATGACTTCGACCAACGATTGCAGAAATAAATGCCGTGTGAGTATTTATCTAGGCATCGTACAACATTGCCAGTGCAGGATTTACGCATAAGCTACACAAGCTATAGCTTAGGGTTTCCCCTTTCTTGGGTTATATATAGTATTAAAATATAGTATAACTGACTTATAAAGGGCCACATAATCTCAAAGAGCTAAGGGCCTTATCAAGTCTAAATCCGTCTCGGAATATTGCCACGAATAGCGCGTAACGCGCAATGTCCGGGTTTTCAACCAAGAATGCCCTAGATCTATCACGTGAAAAAGAAAGGGGCTAAAATTCCTTGGAAAGTAATGAGGGAGAAGAAGGAAAATTGCATTAATAATCTTTTTCATTTTATTGTTTTCCTTTAAAAAGTGGCTAGTGCTGGCTTTACTAGTGCTGCCATCTATGAGTTATATATGGAATAAATACTTCGGATTACCATTTCATTACTACTTGGTACTGCCATTTACTGGCAAAATATTTCTTAAATTTAGTACTCTCCTTCTTTGACAGAGCTTCGTAGAGGTAATAAAAAGTCTTAGAAAACATTTTTCAGACAATCTGTTAAGTAATATTTGCAAAATGGCAAAAAAATTACTTAAAAATTAATTTTTGTAATATAAGAATACTTTGCTTTCTTCATTCCTCGTATTCGAACTTTAACGTTTAAGCTTTTAAATAATATTTTGAGTTCAATTCGTGAAAAATTTCAACTATTTTCTTACTTGGTCAAGTTTTTAATTCATTATAGTGAACTATACGAAATCTTTCTGATCTCTCTAATCTTTACAGAACATTTCTTTGGAAGTTTGATCAGTTTTATCTTGAGTACTTTCTTTCATTCTTCTACTAGTTGTGACATACAGAAATAGAACTGCACAGGTAGAAATATATATCATTCGGTCCTTGGCCTGAAATGAATGTTTTTTATGTTGATGTCATGGAATCCACTATGCA